CATTCAAGTCTGTGGAATAAAAAGCAGTCAATAATCAAGGTTAATCAAAATAAAGTTCAAATGAATCACTTCAATGAACAAGTCTGGCATAAACAGATATTAGAAACACATCTATTCCTTCTTTCACCCAATACAATATTTAGATCTGGATTCAGACTATCTAATCAATGTTGGGATGGAATGGCAAACAATACAAAATATGTATTACATTTTTATAGAAGTTTAAAGCACTGCAGCTTTCATCATTGAGCCTAACTTTGAATTCCTTACTAGTGTTACAGCCTTTGATGACAGAACGCCAAACATCTTGCCATCTGCTGGTTCTCAGTGTCATGCCATAAACCAGGTGTGAGGCACTTTTCTCTGACTCTGTACATGTGATTGGGACTTTGCAGCACCTATTAATTTCCCACTTGAAAGAGTTTAGAGCTGAGGGTTTGGAGGGTTAACAGCACATAAAAGAACATATTCAGATGTTATTCAGTAATTCAAAGGCCAGAAACTAATATTGAAATATTATAACAGACACATGCATTTCTTTAAATGTTTTCATTCATAAATGAAATTTGGCATATACATATTTTAAAAATATTTGAAGCACTTCCAGCTAAAAAACCTTGGACAGAGACCTCAACGAGGCATTTGTTAAAACACAAAAATAATAAAAAGACTGGATTTTTGGTGCTTACTTTAATGACTGACATTTTTCAGATCTGTCAAGGGAGAATATAGCCATACTCACTGAAGTACAGATTTTGTATCCAACTCCAAAATCGAAGCGACACTGCTCATCCATGGAGTAATTGATGCCGGGAAGTTCAGGGAGCTGCGGCCAGTCATGTTTGAAGGGATCGTCCAGCAGGCAGTCATATGAACTGTGAAAACCAAACAAAGTTACTAGAGCTGTTTAAGTAACCCAATAAATGTTTAATTTAATGTTTAATGATTGGCCCTATAAACTTTGGAAGCCACTTCTAAAGTTTAGTAGCAAGCCTAAAGTGGACAGTATGGTTTAATGAAAATGAGACTCATACTTTCTAGATGATTCAGCTGATTCATATCATTAAACAGAGCCAATACTGAACCCACAAAGAACTGAATCAATCATACTTCCTAATATCCATGCGATAGATAATTTACATTAAATCTTCAAAATCCTGAAGTGCTGAGTAAAGCCAGAACATGCAGAGAAAGTGCTTTCAAACTTTCAAACCACAAAGAGATTTTGAACTTCAAAAGTTTCCTTCTGCCACTGGCTAATTTAAGCTGAGGCCAGTGATGAGCTGCTCAAGGATTTCCAGTGAAAGTCAACCCTTTTATTATCAGAAATAAATCCTTCTCATCAGCAGCATTTCTTTATGAGCACTGTTCAGGTTAAAGGTGATGCAAGAGTTGAGTTCTGAGTAAAACACAAGAACACAAATAGAATGTACTGGTAAATGCAGATGCACACGCGATTTAGCTTCTGAAAATGAATCGATTTGCTTGGTGTGAATGGAAAAATCATTAATTTGACACTGCTCAAAGGCTACCGAGAATAGTGACCACTTCAAACTCAATAGACAATGCTGAAAAGGCTTTTCCTGTCCAAGAGAGCTACTCACTCATTTGTACTGGCTGCAGTAAATTGCCAAGATTCATGGATAATTTACATGTTGGTGGCTGACTAAATACTTTTTTTCCCCACTGTATATGTGAAAATCCTTAAGTGGCACTAGAACTTCTGAACTGATTGAGTGAATCAACGGATAATTTACATGCCCTTGGCCATGGCGGGATTAACCCTGAACATGGAACAGTATATATATGTGAAAATCCTTAAGTGGCACTAGAACTTCTGAACTGATTGAGTGAATCAATGAGGGTTAAATTGAGAGGTTTATTAGAGAAACCCGTAACCTTTAGACCAATGGTTTTCAATCTTGGTCCTGGGGACCCACCGCTCTGCATATTTTGCATCTCTCCCTTATTTAACACACCCGATTCAGATCACCAGCTCATTAGGTGAGCGCTGCATGAACTCAGCTGAGTGTGTCAGATAAGGGAGACATACAAAATGTGCAGAGTAGTGGGTCCCCAGGACCAGGATTGAAAAACACTATTTTAGACTAGAATATAACTAAAGACTTAGTCTGCTGACTGATAACACCATCTCATGAATTCGTTTTTTTCTTTGATAATTCATATATTTATACTTGCCATGGTCTTTTCTTAAAGGGATAGTTGACCTGAAAATGAAAATTCTGATTCTGATTCATAAGTTTTGTCCATATTATCAGGGGTGCACATAAGTGGTGCACATGTGCGACCAAAATAAAAAAAAATGCACTTGATAAATCAGTTTAGACTGCTCATTTCCATAACAACATGGTTGACAGCTGTTAATGTACAATCAACATTTTAGATCAACAAACAGTAATAATGTATAAGATTCCTATTCAAACTAAAAGCATAAATCTAGGCTTCACTTACGCTCTTCACCCGGCAGTGCTAAAAACCCAGCAGCGCATTATGTATGTGTGTGTGTGTGTGTGTGTGAGGACATACATTTGTATAATGACAAAGGTATGACATAGGAGAAGGAGATATTACAAGGAGAAGGTGACTTTTCAGGACATTACCCCATGTCCCCACTTTTCAAAACGCTTATAAATCACACAGAATGGAGTGTATTGAAAATCTGAAATAGCACAACGTTTCCTGTAAGGGGTAGGTTTAGGGGTAGGGTTGGTGTAGGGCAATAGAATATACGGTATGTACAGTATAAAAACCATTACGTCTATGGGATGTCCCCACTTTTCACAAAAACAAACCTGTGTGTGTGTATGTGTGTGTGTGTTCCACAGAAGAAAGTAAGTCATACAAGTTTGGAACGATGTGAGGGTGAGTAAATGATGACAGAAATTGCATTTTCAAATCAATATTATTTCTAAATCGTCTGGCAATGACTTCAAAGGAGGTTCAGATTCAAAACAGCCATTAAAAAGAGCTCAAACACATTTGTAAAGTGCTTCTTACAAAAACAAAACCATTGCAAGAGGTGATTAGTTAATATGCCACTAGAGCAATGGAGCAAATGCCATCATCATCATCATCATGGCTAAAGCAGCAATTACAATTTGCTTTAGACTTAATCCCTGTTGGTCATGTTGTCTGTAAACTCTAGGATATCACGACAATCTACTGAGCAGTTAATAACAATTATTTTATATTATATTTATATCAAAATATAAATATAATATCATAGGCATACCTGTGAAGAGACACGTTTTCATTTAAAATATGCACATAAATTCAAGGCCTTCTAGTTTTCTGGATAAAACCGAGAGAGGTATGAGAAGAGAGAAGTGTGAACTCACTGAATGTATCTCTTCAGCTCTTGCCCACTGCACATCGACCAGTGGTAGCGGTGGAAGGCTGCTTGCACCAGAGGGGCCATGACACTTCCCATGGCTGTTTCGTCAACGCAGCGGTTGCCCTGACCATCATGCTCCATTCCCAGTCTACAGACAAGGCATGATTATGGTAAGTAGGAACATAGTGCAGCAATGGCCAAAAGTAAAATTTTCTACTCCAATTAGCATAGCTATATCTGCATAAGGGCAACCTCCGGCAATTCCCTAATACTGGGTATGAAATTACAATATGACCAGGCGAGACACAACAAAGGAATGAAAGCTGTTTTTGGTGCTAATCTGAATCTTTTGGCTAACTAGCTGTGACAATTTGTCAGTCGTTTTGGTCATTTTTGCAGCACTGCAGCGAGTAGCTCCGCCCCCACACTGAAGTCTGATTGGACCAAAATCTCACTTCTCATGTATATTAATCATCAAACATGAATAAGCCTAGAAGAGATTCTGAGAAACAAACAAATATACTTACATATGCACATACATACACATTTACACTACTGCTCAAAAGTCAGGGGTCAGTAAGATGTTTTTCATGTTTTTGAAACAAGTCATTTATGTTCGCCAAGGCTATATATATATATATATATATATATATATATATATATAGTTTTATACTTCAATAGCAGATTTTTTAGCAGCCATTCCTCCAGTATTCAGTGTCACACAACCCTTCAAAAATTATTGTAATATGCTGATTAAGTGCTCAAGAAAAATGTCTTACTATTATCAATGTTGAACACAGTTGTGCTGCTTAATACTGTCTGTGGAAACCATGATAATGTTTTTAGAAAGTTCAAAAGAACAGCATTTTTTAAACAGATATATTGTAGAATATTATAAATGCCTTTACTGTCACTGTTGATCAATTTAATGCATCCTTCCTAAAAGTATTCATGTCTTTCAAATCTTACTGACCTCAAACATTTGAACGGTAATGTATTTCAGTCTGTAGGTTTCTACACTCTTTGCATATCTGACAATGAAGTATTGCTTATTTAATGAGAAAATATATTCTTAAATCACAAATGTCAAACAGATGGAGAAGTTTGCATGGGGACTGGTATGAAAACAGGAAGGACAGAGGCTTAAGAGGGAATCAATTTTATGTGGCTGCCAGCCAGAAAATGCCAATCTCAGAGGCCCTGACATCTCGCTTCGAATTAAATAAAATGTTATTTCAGTCTGTGATAATGCCAAACTGAATCAAAGACTATCAATAGGAAGGTGGTGAGATGCAGCAGAGTAATGATAGTTTACCAGCCTTTGTCATCTGCTCAATGAAAACTAGATGAAAGCATTTGAAAGAAAGAGATAAACAGACAGAGACTGAGACGTTTGAGAGGGTAAAGTCCTGGAGAATAGTTTCAAAATGGAGAAGAAGATAAGGAGGTTGACTCCATGACTAATCTCTGTGTAGGTGGTGAGTTTTTCTGAAACCCTTTTGAATGTTAGATGCCTACAGACTTTAAGCAACTGTTGTCAAAGGAGAAATTGAAACCCACAAAAGGGATCTGGCAAGACAGTGGCCAAGGACTCTTAAGCATGAGCTCAAAAATTCACACGAGAGATGTTTTGAACAACGTGAGAGACTGACTTTAAATCAAGGAAGATGATAAGGACAAAGTATTATCTATCAAATATCCTGACATAAGCAAGTTCACTTGTATGAGACATTGAAATTTTTGTGTCCGAAGTGTTACCCTGAATAGAGCCCTTACCTTGAGAGCATAAAGTACATTAGCTATGGGATTTCATCTGAAAACATGTATATGCTTTAAATCAGTATTAAAACTTTTTTTGAATTAAAATGAGAAATCACAAATAAAACATCAACTGGAGTGACAAAAAACACTTGACAAAAGCTAACATCAATCTGAAATGGCTGAAAAGCACCTGTTCGCGTTTAAAAACCTACACATGTCCTGTCTCATGGGCTACAACAAAGGCAGAAGAGAAGCCGTCTTCATGATTGAGGGTGCAGCTGCGGACAGGGTGGCACATCCCGGTGACAGGGGCATATCCTGAGAGTGAGTGAGTGACAGAGACAGACAGAGACAGACAGAGAGGATGAAACAGTTACTAGGGTTTATTTATTCTGTCATAACTTGCCTATTGAGTCTATATTCTGACAGCTTGCTGCTTGGTGTAATTGTCATAATTTGAGCAGAGCGATGCTGACAGCTCTGCAAATGGTTGTCCATCAGAATCCATCAAGTAGTCAAGACACCTTTATTTATATAGCGCTTTTAACAATACAGATTGTGTCAAAGCAACTGTACAGCATTAATTAGGAAAATAGTGTCAATAATGCAAAATGACAATAGTAAACACTCAATTTTCAGTTAAAGGCAGTTCATCATTGAATTCAGTCATTTCATCATCCAGCTCAGTTCAGTTTAAATAGTATCTGTGCAATCAAGTCGACGATATCGCTGGAAATGAAGTGTCCCCAACTAAGCAAGCCAGAGGCGACAGCGGCAAGGAACCAAAAATCCATCGGTGACAGAATGGAGAAAAAACCTTGGGAGAAACCAGGCTCAGTCGGGGGGCCAGTTCTCCTCTGGCCAGACGAAACCAGCAGTTCAGTTCCAGGCTGCAGCAAAGTCACATTGTGCAGAGGACTCAACTGGTTCCTGTGGTCTTGTCCCAGTGGCCGTCTAGGAGACAATATGATTCTTTTTGTTGGTTTCTTTCACTTGTTTTAATCTGTTCTCTAGAGTTATGGCATGTATTGGACCTATCTATCTATCTATCTATCTATCTATCTATCTATCTATCTATCTATCTATCTATCTATCTATCTATCTATCTATATATAATGGAACATTTAACCCTTAAAAATATTAATTAATTAAATGTATCATATTTTATACATAAGGCTTTTACATTATGATAAAAAGCCATAATAATAATAATATAAAATATATTCACCACCATTCAAAAGGGAGTCAGTAAGGTTTTGAAATTGTTTTGAAAGAAATTTCTTCTGCTCAGCATGGTTGCATTTATTTAATCAAAAATACAGTAAAAACAGTAAATCTACCATCCGAAAGAACTGCTTTCTATTTGAATATATTTTAAAATGTATTTTGTCCTGTCATGCTAAAGGTCCATTACTCCAGCATTCATTGTCACATGATCCTTCAGAAATCATGCTGACTGCTGCTCAAAAAAAATTTCTGATAATTATTAGCTGTTATATATAGCTGAAAATGTTTATGCTTCTCAATAATTGTGTGGAGGTGTTTTCACATTTTTCGATGAACAGAAAGATATAGAAATAGAAATGTTAATTATTTAAAATGATTTAAAATATAATAATTAGCTGTATGCTAATTATTAGTAAAATGCTGTATTAGCATTATTGTCTTTACTGTAATTTTAAATGCCTTATTGCACATTTAGCATTTTTATTGCACATGTACAATGCAAGACAGGGAACATATCAACATTGTAAGGCACACCACACTGACACACAAAAAGCTTTGAAAAAAATGTTTTTAATTTAATGGACAGCACTAAAATAGTAACTATTTTGAGGAACATACATATCCCATCTTTCTATTTAGTTTTCTTTTAAGTATTTGAAAGCAAATTTTGAAATATTCTCACAAAATCTAAGAAATATAATAAGTTTCTTCCATTTATGTGTGTAAATGTGATATTTGCCCACCAAAATTACCATGTTCAGTTATATATATATATATATATACATATATATATACATATATACATATATACATTATATATATATATATATATTCTCAATTCTCTTTGACAAAAAACACTTTACTGTCAAAAAACAAAAACACTTTACTGTCTTTTTTGATCAATTTAAGCTTTGAATTAAAGTATTTAATTTCTTAAAATAGTACCTCCAAACATTTCAATGGTACTGTAAATATAATAATAGTCCTCATTATAAAAACAAAATAATAATCAACTTTAATATTCATAGAAGACGATTAGACTACATTTTATCTGATGGGGGCGGTAAGGGACCTGGATAATGGGTGGGGGGTCGCTGGCCCAAAAAAGGTTGAGAACCAATGTAGTAGATTGTTAACAGTTTTTTCAGCAATGTTTTGATCATGTTGATAATTTAGAGACCTTAGCAATGTGCTTGAAACAGGATTATTAGAGGGGGAGGAAACCAGATGGAGTCTTTCATGCAAAGGTGTCTGTGTGTGCCAAAACAATGTCACCTACCATCTGTCATTACACCACATTTCATTGTGTTGGACAAAGACAGACACTTTGTTCTAGTGTAATACAGTGAAGTGTGCAATTGATCTAACATACTGACAATCTGTCATGCAGTCAAGAAGAATCAATCACCAACGAGTGTCAATCAAACATATACTGTAAATACATCAAATTCATATAAAATGCAAATGAGTTATGTGAAAAGAAAATTTCTCAGTTTTTAAAAGGAAGTTTTTTTCTTGTTAATGCCATTTGTTGTGCAAAGTGATTTGGATAATTGCACTGGTTTTCACGTGTCTGGGTGGAGGGGGCGTAGTGTCACGTAAATATTAACATTTAATGCAATAACATTCACCATAGTAGGATTTATATGTTCCTCAAAAAGTAAACACTGATGCTCTATGAATTTTGCTTTATTTGTTTAAGCATTCCGATCAGTCAAACACAGAAATACTGGCTGAATTAAAGGCCTGAGTTTGTTACCTGTCCAACCAATCCACTTAGTAATGCAAACGGTACACAAATTATTTCACTGTTAAAGGAATAGTTCACTTACAAATGAAAACTTTGTCATAATTTACTCACCCTTATGTTGTTCCAAACCTGTACGACTTTATTCTGTGAAACATATTCTAAAGAGCATTGAGAAAAAAAACCACAATGTTAACCGTTTGGGAAAGTTTATTTTCGGATAAACTAAAAAACTAAACTTAAAAAAAAAAATGCATTTTTGAGAAAGTTATAGTGTTTGAATGCTCAAGTGGCACTGAAAAGTGCATTATAATTCAAAGTCGGCAGCATCGCTTGGATGCAAAAAAAAATAAAAAATCCTTTTTCAGTGCAGTGTTCAGTGTGAAACAGTATATTGTGACTGATATCAGACAGCAGGGACTTTGGCTATGTTTGTAAGCACCATGCGCCACTAAGAATGAAACAATCCTTTGATGCAACCCTACAAAACTGTGACAGATGCTCAACTGAAGATCTCAGCTCTTTAGCTACATTCATATCTGGTGTCAATAAGCCAATAAAGCACACTGGCACTGAATAGCTCAGCATGGCCACTGCCAGCCACTGAATGTGTTGCATGTAATTGGAGAGGCCAAAGAGCTCTTCTCGGAAGATTAACGAGGGCCATGAGTACAGATAGTGGCATGATAAGGGAAATGTCAGAGTAGCAGTGACAGCATAAACACTTCAAGCTGAGATCAGTGCTACTCTTCTCAGGAAAAGAGCGAGTTTTCCTGTCAGGTTGAATAGATGTTAAATGTGCACTGTGAACTTTGTCAGTGCTGAAGGAGATATGCTCTGAGAGGACTGCTGCTTCAGCAGCTGCCTCGAGCCTTAGACAACAAAATCCCCTTTTCCTATGTGCTTATGTAAGTGCGCTTTCATGTCTCTCTGCTATCCTTTTCCAATGCTGTGAACCTCTTTACACATCCACAATCTGTCTAAAGTAGAGCTTGTACACCAACCAGCATTCTGTCAGGCTGGTATTTCATAGAGCATTGATGAGGTGCTGACAGAATCCCGTGGGAATTGTGAGGGAGTATTAGCGAGAGAGAGACAGTGAGAGAAAGAATGAGCTTTTTCACGGAATTAACATATCTAAGATGTTCAATTTTGTGTGTGGAAAATGATATAGGATGTGACAAGTTTGAAAATCAAAAGCATGTCAAACCTTGCATGCCAGTGGGGCCGAAGCCTTGCCGGGTCAAGAAGATGGCGTGGTCGTGATGCTCGGAGTGCTCTGAATCCTCTTTCTGTTGGATGACTGCCCAGCGGCACACGTTTTCTAGGCTTCGCGAAGGGTTGCCACCCTCAATGAGACTGATGGACTGAGAAAAAAATTAGAGACTCATTAGGGGACACTTTAAGCATTCATTAATCTAAAAAACAGCTTAAAGTGACTCACATCGATCACTGGGGGTCTGTTTATGTAATGTTTTTAGATAAACTCCTGTTTACTAACAGTCAAGAGAGCAGTCGAGATTCTTAAAGCTGAAACTCAAAACTTTTTGTTTGTAAATTACAGTACAATAAACTAAAATGCAAGTTTGCGGGGTTGCTGCTTTTTCCCTACATTTCAGCTATTAATCACATTATGTATGTCTAATGCAGAGAACAAACTATGTTGCAATTATTTGTGTATTGCAACACAGACATGAAATTACCTCTGTATTTGTTGACTGCATTATGAGCTTAGAAAATATTTATGTATGTTTACATACAAATGCGAATGGAGAGAGGTTTGATACACTCATAATTGGACTAATAAGAATTTAAGCGAATATCATTTATTATCTTAATGAGTGCTGTCTCTGTGCTGTGATGCGGTCGGAAACCAGATTGAAAATTGTCCAGGTATCCATTTGAGTTTAAGTATTTGTTCAGCTGATTAAAGACTACCTTTTCAATAATCTTTCCTATAAAAGGAAGATTTGATATTGGTCTATAGTTGCTCAATATGGTGTTATCAAGATTTCTCTTTTTCAGAAGGGGTTTAACAACTGCAGTTTTCAGGGAGTTTGGAAAAGTCCCAGAAAGAAGTGAGGCGTTCACCACTTCTAAGAGATCTGCTTCCAAACAGTTAAGCACCCTTTTGAAAAAATATGTGGGAAGTGTGTCAAGATAGCATGTTGACAATTTAAGGTGCTGTACTATTTCTTCCAAAATGTTGCTATCAATTTCTTCAAAAGCAGACATAGTATATTCTTTTTGATATTGTGGTCGAATATGTCTTATATATGAATATATAAGTGGCTAAACTGCAGACAGTATGCTTCCTCATAGCTAATTATTTCACATTTTTCAACTGTGGTGGCAACTGACCTGTGCTGAAATTGGGGAGGGCTTTATGTCACATTAGCTCTAGTGGAAAGAAATTGTCCCATGTAACTTATTTAAGACTCTGGGCAAATAAACTTTTTTTCCAGCAGTAATTCTTTTTTTTTTGGGTGACTACAGATGTTTTAAAAACAACTGGCGTGCTAGAAGACAACCTATATAACTGTCAAGTGTCGGCACTTAATCCATTTCTGGATGTTTACCTAGAAATGCACCTGGCAACATTTCAGGGTTATTATTGTTAACTAAAGCCCAAAGTATGCTTCCTTTTTTGTACACGTACGCTAGCGTATGCTTGCAGTCAAACGTGCGCCTTTCAAAGTATACCTTATTTAATAGCACATGCATAAAAATCAAAGTATACTTTAGGCTTAAAACGAAAACCATTAAAAACATTTATGTTACTTGAAATATAAATACAAAGAGAAAGAAAAAAAATTTATTAGCATCTCAATGACTGTTGGATAATGAATAAAATAGCACTGCAACATTGTTGATGGTGGGTGAAATACTGGTTATTACCACAATCTACGCATAGGTTCATACAGGAGTTTCTATAAATCTATATATGTGACTACACTAAAGTTATCTCATTTTAATTAACAAAAAAAAACATTGTAAAAGTTGCAGAGTATATGCATATACAAGAGTATAAATTGTTATAAGTGTGACAATTAATGGGTTAACATAGGGTCAAAGAGGGTGGGAAATGGTCATGAAAAAATAACTGGTTTTGGCATAAAGCATAAGTCATTAAAATATATATGATATGACCTATTCAAATTTGTTTTGATAGAGATGTTTAATAGTTATTTACCTTAGCATATCCAAGCATGATCATCCTCACAAGCACGACATTAATGTGCACTCCTAATGATTCATCATGGTAGATCTCATTCACCTGCAAACACATGATAAAACATTATTTATCACCTAAACTCCACATAATAAAACAACAAAACACTGATCCTGGCACAAAGGGGGAAAAGGGATATCAGGCAAGGATATAAGTTGCGTCATCCTCCACCTAGTCATCTATGACAGCTACTGATTTGATCAAGTCCAGGGACTGCAGAAAACAAATAAAGCTGCTATATCCCATTTCTAAACCCTCACCACCATTGACAATGAGCAAAAGAAAGCAATGTTTTTTCTAAAACAGCATCGAGATAAAGAGAGCAGGAGGAAAAGGGATCTCAGGCCTGTAAGAGTGGCTTTCTGAGGCATTATAGAAGGCATTTTTAGACAGGTCTTGGGGCTACGGCTGGCATGGAAAAGCCTATGAATGGTTGGTAAATGAAAGGGGTCCAGTGTTGAGCTGGTCATACAGAGGCCTTTTAAAAAGTTCTGATGTTTTTCCTTTCCCACCTAGTTAAGAGGCTGCTGTGTGGGGTGCTGCATTTTGGAGGCACACTTTTTTCTGGTTGAATATAGGGTGTAGTGCCATACCCAGTGACTACGTCATAAATGGCACAAATGCTTCATCAAAACATTTTCTAAAACTGGCCACACATAACAGCAAGTCACCATAAGTTTTCACATACACCCATTACATACATGATATATGCCAATGAATCTCTAGAATTTAACAGACCACCAAAATCCCCGCCCATGACTTTTGTTAACTTTTTCTAAGTGACACAACTTTTTCCTAAGTCACACATCAGTATAGCCATATGATTAACCTGGCTGGTTAACTGACTGGACAACGGGAGTTACAATGGAGTTTTCTTGCTGTGATGCTGATATAATACAGTAAATAATACTATTATATAACTAATAACTGATATGATAATTGAACATTTTGAAGTTCTGATGCAAACACCTCAAATTATGACTGTTGTTCTCATGACATTGAGGCCAATTGACCCAGTTAAGCAGTTTCTAGCATATAATTCTGCAAACAAAAAGGTCACGTTGTCCTGATCATCTGTACGTCAGCGGGGAGAGACAACTCTGTGGTGGATCTAAATGCATATCTGTGTTCAATTTGTACTGAGATCTCTTCTCTTGTTAAAAAAAAGCATGAACAATCAGATTGAGCATTATGTCCATGCATGCAGGACATCTGCCATATGGTCCCTTTGTTCTGCCATATTGCACTGGAAAAAGAATCACACCATTATTATTAATAATAATAATAATATTTTATATTTTGATATATGTATTTACTTTTTGTATATTGTTGCTTTCAGTCCCTAAAACACAATGTGATAAACTGGAGAAGTATAATATACTTTTTTTTTACCCTAAACCTTGCAGAGGCTGTCAGGTCTGCAACGAACTCTGCACTGGAAAGGTGTATTTTTACTGTGTATTTTTTATATGCATTGACTGTTTGGTCAGATTTTAAAAGATGAGGAGGGCCACAGAAATAAAAACTATGCCTCAGCAGATCTTTGTTGCTGTAGTGATTTGTTGTAGTAAGCAGCAAAAAAATAAATGTACCCGTGCGAATGATTAAATTGTTCACTGGCATATGAGCACAGATTGCCTCAACGATGCTCTAAATCAGCAGAGGACGTTAAGTCTCTTACCAACTGCCCCCTCTCTTCTTCCCAGCCATCTCATGCAATTAAACAGAAGCTCTGTTTGATTCAGAAAATTGTCATCTTCAGGCAACATGGCTTTAAATAAGCACGCAAGGCACCTAATCACAGAAGTCTGCTTGTGTGAAAGTTGCATTTTTATACAGAGCTCATTACATTCTGAAAACTCAAACCCATTCCAGTTTAATGAGGAAAAATGATTGTGCATACAGAAAAAGAACAAATAAATATGCAAGTAAGTAAATAAATAAAACCTCAGACCCATAAGAATGGTTCTCTGAGGCATAGAAGGTGTTTTAGACAGGTCTTAGGGCTACAGATGGCATAAAAAAGTTAATAAAATAAATAAATGTAAACAAACAAACAAGTGAATAAATAACACTGAATTTATTTATTTATATATATATTCTGTATGTAATTTGGGCAAAGCTGCACAGTAATATCTCTCTGTGGAGGTATTTTATATAAAAATCCAACATTACTGACATCAGGGCAGAGCTTTCAGTGGAATACATACGAGTGAAAAGAGAAGGTGATTGTACTATCGATGGGCCAAACATTAGTCTGGGTTTACTGAAAAATTATAGTGTACATCTCATCAGTGCACTGGTGAACAGAGCAGCAGGGACATCTACTGGAGGAAGGACTTCTGAAATTTAACCTTAAACTTTACTAGTGTAAACGAGCCCATAGATTACATGCTGAATCCCCAAAACCTGATGAGTGACGCTATTATACACCGATTACACAGAGCATGTGTGGTCATGTTTCAAAACTCTCCTCAGAACAGCGCCATTCACAAAATTAGTAATATGTCAGTCTTGCAGAGATAATGGGGTCCTCCATTTGAACAAAGGAGACTAAATTTTTTTCTTGTGCTAGCCTAAGAATGTGCTTTTCCTCCCAAAACAGAAAATGTCAGAGACATGATCACATCTGGACAGTTTCACCCCTCATGTGAGGTCAGTCTCTTTACAGAAGCAGCTTATTGACATATTTGTGTATAAGCAAACACTGACTGCCGCCATCTACTTTCTGTAGGCTGGCAGAGAGGTATTTTGTCATCAGTATATCATCTTGAAATGAATTCCTCAAATAAGTAAGGACACTTATGGCGCTTTTCCACTGCATGGTACGCCACGGTACGGCTCGGTATGGTTCACTTTTTGGGGGTTTTTCACTGGGTACGGTACCTGGTACTTTTTTAGTACCACTTCGGTTGAGGTTCCAAGTGAACGTACCGTTACCAAAACGTGACGTGTAAACTCTGCTGATCACGGATTGGCCGGAGAGAATCGTCACTACCTGCGTCGCTGAACTTGCGACACAAACACAACAGAACCGCTAGATTTAAATCAGCACAGCCAGCGAAGGATCGAACGCAACTGTTTTGAACGAGCACACCTTTTTTAACAACCAAAAAGTGGCTGTTTCATTGTCTGTTGAGGAAGTACAGACGTTCCTCTCGTTGATAGCAGAGGAGCAGATCCAGCGAGCTTGACGGGGCGACGCGGAATGAAAAAGTTTTTCAGGAGTCGCGGCAGTAGAGGGGCAACTATAACGACATGTGAATAATCCCGCCCACTCTAAAGCGGTACTGAACTGCAGTTGAAACACAAGCCGAGCAGAGCCGAACCGTGCCGTACCGTACTGAGCCGAGACGAGTCGTACCACGCAGTGGAAAAGCACCATTAGACACCACTGCCAGACTGCCTTCCATTTACGTGTCAGAGGACTGAATCAGGAGGAGAGTTAATAGGTTTTATGAGGAGGAAAATAATTGATTGCTCAACAATAAAGAAGGCCTGATGGTCAAGGGCCATCATTAGACAGTTTTGGGCCAGTTGAGGGGATTTAGGGTATTTAAATCTAGGAATCTGCATGTTAAAAATAATTTTCTTGCAGTTTTATAAAATATTTAAAAATGTTTTTAAACAAAAAAAGCAAATAATATTGACACTGCTACTACTACTACTAATATTACTAATAATAATAATTAATATTATTATAACTTATTCATATTTATTTATTAGTACTTATAAAGCACATATTAATGCCTTATTCTGCATGAGCATATTGTAGATCCCTTAATCCTACCCCATACCTAAAACTAACAACTACCTTACTAACTATTAATAAACAGAGTGTGTATATATATATAAATCAGAAGTTTATTGAGGCAAAATTCATAGTTATTAGTTAGTTAAAAGTGTGACCAAAAATGTTTTATTTCAGCTAGTTGGCACTAAGTTTATTACAATTATATATATATATATATATATATATATATATATATATATACACAACCCTCAACGGACACCTTGGCAATTGAATCGCCATTGGCTAGTATATATTTTTTTGTTTACTCGCCAGACTGAAATACTATACTTAGGCCTGTCACGATAACAACTTTTTGTTGTGCGATATATTGCCCCAGAAATAATTGCGATAAGCGATATTATTGTCATTTTAAAGACCATTTTATGCCACTGAATATATAATCATAATGTAACAGCATAATAATGCAAGAAGGCCTACACACTTCCAAATGACAACAAACTTTTAATTTGTAAGAATATTTAGATTATGGAAATTAAGTATCAAAATATTAGATCCCTTAAAAAACCTGAATAAATAGTAAATAAACAGTAGAAAAAAGAAAAATGCACAAAGAACTTGTATGGAGATTTTTCCATACAGATTTTTCCCTGACCTTCTTTTCTCTGTAAATGAAGGATGCACACTATTGCTGAAAAACACAATTACTACTTAGCAGTCAGATGCCTGTATGCAGAAAGGCACAGATCCCTAAACAAGATCAAATCTGCAGATGAAACTTTTTT